CTTGGAGAAGGGACACCTGGAAGTCACCACAGCAGATAATTACCACCCCGCCAGGTAATCATTGCTGTAGACTTTATGTAAGTTGTATTATTTTATATATATTTTATATATATATATATATATATATATATATATATTTGTATTAAGAAACTTATTGCTCTTTTATAGACTAGTTTGCTACAGGATGACTTAATTGGGGTTTTTTACTTAAAACGCTATTACTATTGGTTAATTAAGAAACTACTTTTTGGTAAACAAATCTTTAAAACACATTGTACATGTTCACAATACTAGGTGTAGCAATTTAAGAATTGTTTCTCATTCTTTTCTCTGGTCTTCTGACAGATTTTCCCAGGACAGTGCCTGGGAAAGTTGTGTTTCTGTGGCCAGGGAGCTGCTGCCACAGGAGGTGACACCCTCGGGGGACACAGGAGCCCTGCCAGGCTCTGCTGGTGCCACTGGGAGCCGTGGGAGGTGACGAGCCCCAAATGGCCCCAGCAGCTGTCTGACACTGCTCAGCCCCAGCAAGAAGCCTTCGGCCCAAAAAGCAAAGCCTGGGGCTGCAACCCTTGAAGGAGAAGCTTCCAGGAGGGAATGCCACACAAGCTGAGGGGGACAATGGGACAGAGCTGCCCCTCTGCCCTGCGAGGAAAGGAGGAGCAGCTGCTGTGGGCTGCAGAGTGTCTGCAAGGGTTCTGGAGGAGGGAAATCCCTAATGAAGGGGCCTCAAAGGACAGTGACAGCCTGCTTGAGACCCTGGGAGTTCAGCCACTGTGTTGAATTCTCCTGGATGTGGAAAAACCATGGTATTCCCAGAGCTGCTAGTGCAGACTCATTGATTAGTAGGCAGGGCAGGAAATTAAATGAGGCAGGTGAATTAAAGCCAGACTTCACAAGCTGCATCTGTTCCTCCATTCCCCCTGGATACAACACTGATGGAACTTTAAAAAGTAAATTTAGCGAGGAAAGCTGCCAGGCTGATGGCCCTGTGAACTGAGACATTTGATGCATGCATGTCTCAGGTACAGGAGAAGCACAGAGGAGCCACTGGAACGTGCCCCAGCCTGAGCTGCCTGAGTGGAGCACAGCTGTGCTGGAGATGACCTGCCTGGGCTTGTCTTCTGCTCACAAGGCTCAGGAGAAGGAGCTGCTGGAAGGGCCTGGCTGCAGCTGCAGGGAGGAGGAGAACAGCAGTGCTTTGGATAATCCAGTGCTGTGATGCTCCAGCAGCAGCAGGATCCCAAAGGTGAGCAGTCCCAGCAAGCAGCAGTCCCGTGCACAGAGCAGCACGGTGAGGTTTCAGACTTCTCCATCCCGCAGCACACTCAGCACCTAACACACCTTCCAGTGCTGCTCCTTGGTCTTGGCCCCACCTGCGTTCACAGACAAGGGAAACACCCATTTCACAGCAGCTCTCACTGTCAGCATCTTTTCTGGTATCCAGGCAGCTCCTCACACCACCACAGTTAATTTAGTCATTACAGATATCCCCCTGAGCTGCTCCAGAGCTGACCAGAGCTGCCAGCTACCGGCAGGAGGTGTTACAGTAGATCCTGGACCTAATCCAGCTCAGGTCAGTTTGCCTTTCGCAGAAAGGCAAAACTCCAAAGAGCCTGGCTGGTTTTGAAGGAAAGCAAGGAGAGACAGAACATCTCAAATAAAAGACTTATTTTTCCCCTAGGCGTGTCCAGAAGAGGATTGGAAGCATCCCTCTGCCCATTTGGTGATCCAACCTTCTTGGCCAGACTCAGGTAAGCCCCCAGTGTCTAAATTCCACTATAGAAAGTGGCTTCCATCTGTTCTGAGAGCAGCTGAGAGGTGTGATCCCACCACTCAGCAACCAGGAGTAAGAGGCAGCGTGGGGAACACAAGCAGAAGAGGCAGTGTAAAACAACTGAGTAAAAGAGAGAATCCCTCTGTCCTCACACACTGCGACTGGAAATGTTGGGGAACAGCTGGAGCTGCCAGGGGGGTTTAGATTGGATTTTGGGGAAAAGTTCTTCTCCCCAGGGTGCTGGCACTGCCCAGGCTGCCCAGGGAATGGTCCCGAGGCTGCCAGAGCTCCAGGAGCTCCCAGGGATGCCCAGGGTGGGATTTTGGGGGTCTGTGCAGGGCCAGGGGCTGGGCTCATGATCCCTGAGGGTTCCTCCCAGCTCAGGGTATTCCATGATTCATCACTAAAGAGTTGCACAGTTCTGTTAGCAAAACATTAAAGAAATCTCTTGCAGTGAAAAACAACCCAATAAACAGGCAAACAAAGAAAACGACTGGAAATGTTGGGGAACAGCTGGAGCTGCCAGGGGGGTTTAGATTGGATTTTGGGGAAAAGTTCTTCTCCCCAGGGTGCTGGCACTGCCCAGGCTGCCCAGGGAATGGTCCCGAGGCTGCCAGAGCTCCAGGAGCTCCCAGGGATGCCCAGGGTGGGATTTTGGGGGTCTGTGCAGGGCCAGGGGCTGGGCTCATGATCCCTGAGGGTTCCTCCCAGCTCAGGGTATTCCATGATTCATCACTAAAGAGTTGCACAGTTCTGTTAGCAAAACATTAAAGAAATCTCTTGCAGTGAAAAACAACCCAATAAACAGGCAAACAAAGAAAAAAAAAAACCAGTCAGTTCTTGTTCCTCAGAGCACAGCCCCTGTTCCCAAGTGGCTTGCATTGGATTGTGGCATAGAGGAAAAAAGCAGAAATACCACAAATAGATCCAGTTAGTTTTACCTCTTTTTATGCTGGTCCTGTGGCTCTTTCTAGGTGGTTTTGTCCTACTCTTTCCCATGTGATGAGATGCATCATTTGAAGGACAGCAACCAAACCAGCTCTTCCTGCTCTGGAGAAAGGCAGCAACTGCACTTAGAATAAAAGATTGTCAGGCAGATTTGAAGTGTCAATCAAAGCCTATCTCTGAAAAAAACATTAGCCCAGGCAGCTCCCCACACCACCACGGTTAATTTAGTCTTTCCAGATATCCCCCTGAGCTGCAGAAAGCCTTCCAGAGCCAACCAGAGCTGCCAGCCACAGGCAGGAGGTGTTACAGTAGATATTGGACCTAATTCAGCTCAGGTCAGTTTGCCTTTTGCAGAGCAAAAGACTGTGATTATCAAGCCCAGGGAAGCAAATCCTGTCTCCCAGGCTTTGTGAAGCAAACTGCACCTTTTACTAGATGAGGGGCATAGATTTAGAACTCTGTTCCTCAGTGTGTCCCATCTGCAGTGGCACACATCCACTTTAATATTATTATTCTAATTTTAATTATTATTTATGACTACACCCAGGGCTGTGTGAGGCACTCTCCAAGCACTCAGGAAAGTACTGGCTCTGCTCCAAGAAATTCATTATTTCAGGATAGGCAGACATGCAGAGGCACTGCATGGTCAAGTGGAGAACTGCTGACCCAACAGCCAGTACCTGCCTTGCTGGTTGACCTTGGAAAACTCACCTTCCTTCTTCCCACACTTAGTCCCATCCCACTCTTTGTCCATCCCATTTGCTTAAAAAAATGTTCAGCTGTGACTATGTTCATGTTTTTGTCTTAGAATCTCTTTCTGTGCAAAGTCTAAGTATGTTCTCGGGGGGAATATTTTTGTTCTTTGGGAAAAAGAAAATGAAAAATTCTATTTTCCACAGCATTTTGTCAAATGCTTGTGTTGGAAAAAAAAGAATCAAATGTTTTCTCATGGCCAAAGAAACCAGAAAATGCAGATTTAGGGTGTTTGGTAAGAGTTGCCAGGCATTGGAATTTTCTGGAGAAAGTACTGTAGAGATTAGTGAAACATCCAATTTTTTTCCTGAAAATAAGTCTGAACCTAAAAACCAAGTTGTTCTGTGAGTAAGGAACTGGTGAAACCCGTTCTTCCTCTGATTTGTATTACAACTGCTTTTTATTTCTTCCTTTCTTGGTGCTCCCAGCTTCCTGCAACATCCTGCAGGCACCTGATGCCTTCCAGACCTTCCCAGCAAAATCCTTGGCTGCTCCAGCAGCCTCTTGCTTTGCAGGGAAGGGGTAGCAAAAAGTGCAGGGGCTGGTTTGGAGCTGGGCAGGAGCTGACTGACCAGTCATATCTAAATGCCAGCTGGTCACCTGCATCCCAGAACAGGCAGGGAGCAAGAGGTGTAATTGTCTTGCCTTCAATAGAATATTAACTTAAATGTCTCTCTTCTATCCATCTGCTGCTTGCTCATGAAAATTGCAGGAATCCTGGGTCTGTGAGACCTCTCTTTTTCCATCAGATTGGGTTGAATCAGGTCAGCTGGTTCAGAAGTTATTGGAGCAGGGGAAGGGGAGGACCAGCTGCAGACAGAAAAACACAAGGAGGCTCATTGCTGTATAAACCCTGGCTCCAAAATGAGGCAGTTTTGGGGTACCTGTGGGTCCCTGACATCAGGTGAGGTGGTGGCTGTACCAGAACCAGGTCCTGTCCTTTGGACACAGAGGGGCTGCCAAGCTCCAGGACTGTCTCCAGTCCCCACCACGTTTTGCTGTACAAAGCCTGTAACCTGGAAATGGGGCTCTCCTGTATAGAAAGTGTTCTGGAGCCCAGACAGACCATAACCAGAGTCATTTACACCTGGATGGACAGGCTGAAAGGAAGAAAGAATTATCTCACACTTACATGTAGGAAAACAAAAGCCAAGACCAGCAACTTACTGCAGAATCCTGAGAAGGAGCCAGCAGGAGGCTGGGATGTCCCATGTCCCCACCTGGGCCCTAAGCAAAGCCCACCTCAGCTCCTTGTTGCTCCGTTGCCCAGGCAGAAATCCCCTTTCCTGGGCTTTTCACTGATCCATGGCTCTCAGGAGCTGAGTCAGCCTCACCACACTCCTCCGCTGGCAGCTGGGTCCACATGGCACGCTGATGAGGAAACACTATTTGTTGTTTTGTTTGGGTTCATGATTCACGGGCACCATGCTGGAAACACTTGGAGCTGCTTTCTGAACAGTCCTTGAGCTGGCCTGCAGGGAGGGACTTACCAACACTGGTGGCCAGGCTGCCTTTCCGTGGGCCAGCTCTCTTCCATCTGCTCCCCTTCAGCCCTTGTCACACTCGCCGTCCCTCATGGCTTTGGCTGTGCTCTTTGGCATTATCTGAATAAGAAAGAGGCAAATACTTGGAGCACTGCAGAGATGCAATCAAAAATGGCATTTGCCCAAGCAGCACTCACCCTGACATGTGGAGAACGTAAAGCTCATCCTCTGGCTGGTTCTGTTCTTCAATCACACTGTATGACTGAGAATAAGCCACTTGCAGCGTTTCAAACCTGTTTATCCTTCCACAGAAGATGCCTTCACCCTCCTTCAGGTAATCCACAACTGTCTGGAAGACTTTTTCTGATAAGCAAGGCTCTTCCTCTTTAGAGCCTGCTCCTGGAAATCCATTTTTCATCTTAGAACAAGGGCAGTCTGTAGCTTTAGGAGCACTTTGAGAATGTCTGCAGTAAGAGCTTGAACTGCTCTCAACACACTCACCCTGAGGCATTAGCATTAAATGGTGCCTTTCTGGGGTTGTGGGTCTAGCAACATCTGACAGGGGTCCAGAGCCTCCACAGAAGGCCTGAACTTAGCAAACCAGAATTCTTTTCTAAGTTACTCTTCTGAAAACCCTTAGAAATCACCCAGTGCTATCCCCTGGGGTCTCCAGAACAGAGCCTAAAGCTCAAAGTTTGTAGGGGTACCTCTTTGGGGCTGGGATTTGCCTGGAGAGCTCATTATCCCACCTTGGACTGCAACTAAGAGCAGGGCTGAGGCTTTTGACTCCTGTGAATTGCTGTTTGCAATTATGTTCTCATTTTATGACAAGAAACTGAGCCTGTGCTGCAAATATTTCATCAGATCTTAGAGAATTTCAGAGTCTGTGGGGTGGGAGTTTTTGCTGTGTTCTAGAAAAGTCTAGTGATGCTGATATCAGTCTCTGGTGGGGTTTTCTGTAAAACCCAGAGCAGGATTCATATTTCAGCACTTTCTTACCTTGAAATTTTAGGGGATTTTGATAGCCAAGGGTTTGCTGTGAGCCCACCCTGTAGCACATCTGTCCCATAAAACACCATGACACAGGAGGGGGGATTTATCCCAACTGGGCAAAATCCTCACCTGATATAAATCAGCACAACTGCAGAGAAGTCCAGTAGGCTGGGCCATATCACACCAGAAAGAAACCTACGTTAGGATGTACTTCCCATTCATTAATTCTTTGCCTAGAACCAAGACAGAGCCCTGGGGAACATATTAGCTCAGTTTCATCTGCTGCAGTCCCATGCAACTGCACAGGGAGGAATTCAAACCCTGTGGACCACGTTCTCTGTCACTGCAACCCTGAGTTTTTGTTAAATGAGCTTCTTGGGCTAAACACAGGTGTGACTGTCTGACCTGTGTGCTGTGAGGTGTCAGCAGAGGTAACTGCACTAATGCTTTTAGAACTTAAAAATCACTTAACTGAGGACACCAGAAGAGAGCTTGGCCCGTGAATAATACACATAAATGCTACCTTCAGCCACTGAGATGTAGTCAGCCCCCCACCTGGCTGTTGCCTCAGTAACACATCTCTAGGAGGATATTTTTAAGGCAGTATTATTTATCTGGTAGGTGGAAGCAGACCTGTTAAGGCCATACCAGGTCAGCATATGTCTAAGCATGTACTGAAGAACTTAATTAGTTCTCCCTGAGCAGAGAGACTCCCAGTGCTATTTAAAGGATCGTTATCCTTCTGCGAGATGCCTCAGAGCCTGCTGCTAGGCCTCAGCTAAACAGGGCAAGGCTGGAGGAGTGGGATGGGGGTGAAAAGTCTCCCCTCCGTGCTGAGGAGTAATTGCTGAGCAACCGCAGGAGCGGGAGGGTCAGTGCAAAGAGCAGGCTTCACAAAGCCACGCTGAAACTCAGAGTGAAAACTTACTTCAGGGTCAAACTGTGTAGATCCCATTACGTTTCTTTGTTTCTAGAGGCCCAACATCACCTGCTGTGCTTGGTGACTGCATCCCAGGCAATTCCAGTGACAGGGGCAGGGCTGATAGGAGAGTGATGGAGGTGGGGAGTGAGCCACTGCTGAGTGCCTGTCATTGCTCCTCGTGTCACCATGGAGCCAAACATAGGCAGGAGTTTAGCATCAGCTAAACTGGACCTTGTGCAACTGGCTCACTCACAGTTTTCATTTACAGTTCCAAAAAATCAGATATTCTGAACTGAATGCCAAGAAGGGAATGCAATGGGCTCCCTGAGGATGGATGGGTTTGTTATTCTGGCAGGAGGTAAAATATCCATCCTTGAGTGGATGGACCTTTGGAAAACCAGACTGAGCAGCCTCTGAAGAATAGAACAGGCTCCCAAGCATGTCAAAGCTTCTATAAGGACTGGCACTCACAGGGGACACTGAGGCTGGATTGCAGGAGAGGGAGGAACCTGGACATGCTTCTTTTGACCTAAGAGTGGCTCTGATATACAACGTGGGACCTTGGTCTGCTCTTGGAGCTGTCAGGAGTTTTTCCTGGATGAGTTGTTATGGTAACTGAGCTAATGCCCTGAGATAGATGCTTTCAGGTGGCTCCAGGCCAGAAAATCAACACCAATAGATTCCAGATAATAGACTTCTGCTGAACTCAGTGCTGGCATCTACTTTATTTAACCTATTCACCAATGACTTCCTGAACTCCATTCTCCAGGCAAGCCATGTATGCTGAGAAAAGCTGCCTGGCCTCAATGAACTCCAGCTTCCAAAAGGCTGAGGGGACACATGTCCTGTGGCTGAGTCTGTGCCAGTAAATCAAATGTGCCTGGGACATTCTCCTGCTTTAGAGGACAGCTGGCACAGAATGGCCAAGGTTTTCCTATTAAATTCTCACTCTCCAAACCTGTGTGGACCCATCCAGGCATCCCACAAGGAGCAGTCCTTGGCCCGTGCTGGCTTCTGAAATGCACCTGGACTGAGCCAAAATTTGCGGTGCAATACTCCATCATTTTAACAGAGAGAAGTCCAGTCATTGCTTAATTTTCAGCACAGACCTTGCCTGGGTGACTGCAGGAGAGGAGCCTGGAACCAAGAGCAAAGGCTCTGACAACATGCTTGTGCTTATACCACATACAAATCCAGCTGGAACTGTACATCCCTAGGAGCAGGCAGTGACAGGCACACTGGGCATGTCTAGGGATCACTCTGGATCAGCCACTGACATCCTCTGTTTGAAACAGCCCATGGGTTAAGCAGAGGATTCACCAGTTCAAGGCAATGTTCCTCCACCTCCCACTGAACATCCAAACACAGCCAATAAATGACCAGCAAGGAGCAGCTAATTGCATGTGCCACTGCCCAGCCCAGGTCAGACTGTGTCCCTCATCACAGACTCCAGGCCAGAAGAGGCTCAAAGCCCTGACTTTACTGAAACTGCTCCTTTTATACCCTGCTCAATACAGGTGGACCTGCCTGGTCGTTTAATCAATACATTTCACATGACTGGCTAATTAACAAGACGCCATTTGTAAACAACCTTATGGGCAAAGGAGCTTATTACAAAACACCAGGTGCAGATTGTTTAGAATTCTTTCTCTCCAGCTCCCTAAAGTCTCCCAGGCCGATTCATGGGAAGACTTTGTCTAGCTTTCTCTCTGCCCAGGCTGCTGCATCCACATCCTGTTCACTGGTGCTCCAATGCAGCCGCAGGGAGCTCCCGAGCAGCTCGCTGCAGCAGACAAACTCAGGAGGAGTCACGGCAGTCTCAGCACTCCCACGGCACCGCCGGACCAGCTGAGCAGCTCCTGGCTCTGGCCCTGCCTCCAGAGCGAGCCAAACGGGTTCTGCCGCGGTGTGGCCCAGCACTGATCATGCCCTGGGCCTCTGGGACAGCCTATTGCACGCCCCTGGGTGCTTCTGCACCCATGCTGGGTGGCTGTTCTGCCCATGCCAAGACCCACTGCTGGTCTCCTGTTAGGCACTGATGGCTCCCACACCACATGCTGGCCCGTGGCCACTGAGCTGGGGCATTTCTCTGCTTGTTCATTCCCATCTCAACTCCTGCTCTGCTTGCTTTACCCACTGGCAAACCGTGTTATTGTAATATGTCACTCTCTAGGGCAGAAACTGTTTTTGAGCGAGCTCTTTTCTCAGCCTCTACTGCAACAGGATTGCAATTTCAGTCAGCACAGCAGCAATGTGATTAACAGGCTCTGCACAAAGGGGAATTGCATCCTAGGTGGATGTGATATTTGCAGTTCTGGCCAGCCCATGTGTTTTCCCATGTGAGAGGTCATGTTGACTGATCTCTAAATGGCTTGCTCGAACTTTTAAACATTAAGGTCTAAATAAATTTTCAGCATTAGCTGGTATGCTGATCCCTTTCCTGCCAAGCTGCCGCCTTAAGTGAATTTTTATGACTAAGTTACAAACCCCAGAAAGTACGAGCAAGAAGTGGAAATGCTGACTTGGCCTTTGCTAAATGCCAATTATCTACAAAGGCATTAGGCAGGGAGGGGAGGATGAAAAATAGGGTCATTTTCATGTTTTCTCTGGTTCAAAGCAAACTGTCCCATGAGCCCATCGGAGGAACACACAGCATGCAGAGTGACCATTAATATTTATAGGCACGACACTGAGCTGCAGACCCTGGCAATCACAGCAACTCCACTTTTGGAATTAATAGTGCTCTGTTTGGCTGGTACCTCGGTACACAAGAGCAAGTAGGAGACTTTAAGATTTTCAGGGAGAGCTGAGGAAGTAGATGGGGAGGGCTCCAAACTTCACTGAGTTGGTGAAACACTAAAACCAACTCTTAAATCTTCAGGACTGCTGGCCAAATGCAGCACCATGTTTTCACTATTCTCTCTGCTCCTGTGGCTCACAGACAGTCCCAACAGTGCAGGGGCTACTCTCATTACAGTCCCCACGGTTATTCACTGTTGCCCAGCTGATACACACCCGTGTATTTCCAAAGACACTACTGGTGCAACATGGATTTATAGCACCTAAAGATCTGCTTGAGTGATCTTAAGACTCAAATTGTACTGTAATCTCAGCTACAATGCAGCCTTCTCCCACTCTACATTTCCTAAGTTGCAGTGGCAGCGAGAGACAGGCATCTAAAATCCTCCAGAAGCTCTCTGTGCTGGAGACCTGGCAAGGTGCTGAGTCACAACTGCCCTCAGCCCAGGACTGCCTAGCCACACATCGCAGAAATATCTAAGGGAACTATCCTACCACAGCTCAGTCACCCCATGAACCTTTGGAGAAATGTGTCCCCAGTATCTGGGCATTTACAAAAATGCCTTTGGGAGTGGGTGAGGCACAACCCAATAATCCTTTATGTCAAAAAAAAATCAAGGAGACATGACTTCAGGTAGAGACTGGGCACTCCCCACATTGCACCCAGCCCTGGAAAAAGCAATGGGAGATTGGCCAAAGGTGCTAGTCTAGGAACCAGGAAGGTTAGCAGGAAATCCATGGAGAAAAATATTAGAAATACCACTTCGTTTTTAATGTACTCACAAAAATTGAGTTGGGACTTTGAGCAACAGGCTCTCGATTTTCAAAAATGGCCAGTGACTTCAGCTGGGCCCTCTGAACTCAGCACACCAGGGCAGGATCTCCTGGTGAGTTTTGCATTGCTGCAGTTACACCCTGCTTCTGCAGCGTGTGGGAAGGTGCACAGCACACTATGGAAACCAGGCATCTACCAAACAAGCATCAGTATGTGCACTCCATCCACTCAGACCCTCCAAATCCTTTTTAACTTTCAAAAATTCAGACTGTAAAAATTAGGAAAATAAATACTGGAAACAACAACAAATAGAAGTGCTTCTGCCATTAAAAACCAGGTGAAAAGGAGGAGCTGAGCCAAGTTAATCAGAGAACTGAAATGAGATGTTGGAGAAAAGGGCCGTGGGTGACTTGGGGTTTGCAGTTAGCTGAGTGATGTGAAATCTCCTGTGTCTGGCTGAGCTCTGAAAGGAAACGCTTTATTAAATCTTCTTTGTGTGAGATTTCAAGCTGCCTCTGGACTGGAAAATAGGACCATTCCAGTATGTGGGATATAATCAAGAACTGAAGTCTTTAGTGCAGGGTTTTCTGCAGAGGAAACTCTGATCAGCATAGACACATAACTCAGAGGGCTCAGGATTTAGAAAGATGAATTAGACACCACATACCCACAACATACCTCTTCTACCCAGTATCCCCAAAATGCTTCACAGAATTAATCATGCTGGCAGCAACAACCCGGCTTTAGGAAAGACAGTGCAGGTGGGCATAAATTCACCACACTGAATCAAAACTGTCCTGTGGGCCAGTGAGTCCAAGGTCCATTATCTCAGCTTTCATCCCCACTAGAACACAGTGCTTGCCGTGATTGATCTCCCATGCCCTGGCTCTCCTGGGAGTCTCTAGTCTCACTGTACTTTCTGCTGTGAATCAGACACATTTTGGGCAGCTGCAGCCTCTTGCCATCCCTGTCCACACTGCTCGTGCTCTGCTGTAAGCTGGTGGCTGGCAGCACTTCTCGTGTCACAAGGACTGTGCCACCCCCAAAAACCAGCAGAAAGTGCTTACCACAAAGAACCAGGGAGAGACAGGCACAACAGGACAAGAGAGAGGTTCCCAGACACTCCCATGTTGCACAGTCTCCTCTGCCCTTTTTCTTGTCATGTTTCTCTCTCTGTGCTTGGCCGCATATCCAGGAAAACAAGACCTGACCAGAGACAGGACAGGCAGCAGCAACCAGCAACCTCCTCTGAGCTGCTTATTTCACAGCACATGTCTGGATTTGAAGAGCCTGGAGCCTCAATCCTGCTGGAAATGGCAGGATTTGAGTTCCTGGTCCTACTTCCACAAACCCCGACAAGAAAATGTCCCAAGGGGCTGAGACACACCAAGTGTGCCCCTTCCTTTGCACCACCCCCACGGCAGACGGGCTCCTTGCCTACCTTTTATTGCTGACCAGGAGGAGGACAGAACCGTTCTGGATATTGGCTTCTTTGAGGGTCTCATGCTCCTCGAGCTGCCTGGAGTTGTAATAAAATGTCTTCTTCCAGGAAGTGATGCCCTCCCGGACCAAGAGAGCCCGCAGGTCCATCACCGTGTCCCTGGGCCTGACGGTCAGGGGCATCATCAGGTCCTCATCGGCCAGGTGCACCTTGATGTGGTACCTCTTCCATCGAGACAGGCTCCTGCGCAGCGTGTCCATCCCCTCCAGCTCAGCAGGGCCAGTGTGGCAGAGCAGAGCATCCAGCTGGGAGATCAGCAAAGCAGGGACGTGGCTCTGAAGAGGCTGGCTGCTGCAAGCAGCTTAAAACGTCCTGCCAAACCTGTTTCTCCCAGTTGCCACGCTGCATGCTTCACATACCAGGGAAGAGCTCACCTGGCTCCATGAGCCTGCTGGCTGGGAAATCATGGCTGGAATCATTTCCACACACCCCTAAATCCCATCATAATTACAGTGTCTTCACGAAGTGCTCTTCATTCCAATGGCTGGCAGAGGACTTTTAAAGCCAGATCTCCACAGACATTAGAAACGTGGGTGCATGTCAGAAATGAATGGGTTTAGCAACCTCGTGTCTCCTGCTCTAAAAAGCTGCCAGCTGGGGAGAAGATCAGTTAGCAAAGCAGGCATTTAGCAACCTCACAGCTATTTAACATGGCCACTTTAATGAAGAGAAGTACAGCTGCATAGTGACAAATTCCTCACAGAGGAGAGCCACAGCACCCTGATGAGCTAGAGCCTGGCTGTGTGAACAACTCTCATCACTGCAGTGCAGATTCCCCCAGGAGATCTGCGCTGTTGCTGCTCACAAACAATCTGGGACCCTCCAGAAGGGATAGGACTCACTCACTCACTCCTCATCAAACCCCCATACATCTGATATTGACTCACATGAGTCCTCGATGGTTCATTGCCTTGATTTCCTCTTCCTTTCAGACCCTGTCTAATTGCAGGGCTGGGTATCCTGTGCAGCACGTCAGAGAGATCAGCACCACAGGGCTGCAGGCACAAACAGGTGGCACAGAGACCTTGAAGTGCCAAGAGGAACCAGCCACACTTTGGGAAATGCAATGCCACCTCTGAAAGGAAGGAGTTGATGTCAGCCACAGGCTGTAATTGACTGATCCTACAAGGCAGACTCTGGCAGTCACAAGATGATACTTCAGAGCAAACACCATGAAGATAAGGAAGCCTTTTTTGCTCTTTTTCTCAAAAAGATCAAGTCACCCTCTTATCTTGTAAGTAACTTTTCTGCAGCCCGTATTACAGGCTTTAATTCCCTCGTCCATTCTTCTTAACATAGACCAGTATTTTCAGACCAAAGTACTGCAAGACTGTTGAGTTCAGGGTCTGCTCTTCACTAAAGAGGAGCTGCTCTTGCCCAGCAGATAACAAAAGTCTGATTTTCAGATAAGGCAGCTGCCATTGAGAATAAGAGAAGTGTCCACTCTCCCATGGGGGAACAATGAGGATTCCACCTTTCCTCCACACCTCCCTTTTTCCTCCCCTGCACATTATGTCTCTGCCAAGAACAGCAGCAAACATCTTCACTTGCACCACGGCCACGGGCAGTGGAGATTTCCCTGTGCAGTTGAGAAGAACTGAAGCTCCATTGCAGCATTTCTTTCCAGCTTGAGTCACTCCCAAGGTATGATTGTTTTGGTGGGGTCTGGCATTCTTGGGTCCTTGCTCTGCCACTGAGTTGCTGCAAAGGCGTGAGATGAGTCATGCCAGCCTTGGCGTTTGTGTTTACTCACCTCATGACTGCAGTGTGGTGTAACACATGTTCTCTAAGCACCTTGTGGGAAACAGGAACTGCGTTCAGCACAGTCATGGTTTGGGAGCAGCTAAGGATGCCTGGATTTACAAATATGCCAATAACCTTGAAGACAGAACAACACTACCCCTATCAGAGATGGAGAAACTGAAGGATAAAGCTGTTAAAGCCCAGAAAAGGCAAAAGGTCAGGCTCTGGTCCCCATATCCCGGTACCTCAGTGAGGGGTCTCATTTTCAGAGACCTGTAGAGACCCTCAAGCCCAGGGCTGGTGATTCCTTCCCCACTGGGGTGACATTCACTTAGGGAGCCAAACGTCTTCCCTGGAGTAAAGCCAGAGTCTCAGGGGTAAAGCAAGGGTCTGATCCAACTCCCAGAGCCATGCAAGGGCAGCCTCTCATTGAGGGCAGCCAGACCTGGAACAGGCCCCAGACACACCGTGCTCTGACAGCTCTGGCCAGCAGACTCTGCCCAGTGAGTGCCAAGGGGAGCATAAGGCATTCTCACTTCAGCAGAGCCTGTCTGGTGTCAGCGAGTCCATCAGCTCCATCCCTCCAGCATACGTGACAGCCTGACAGTTGCCAAATACCTCCCTCAGACACCTTTCAGACAGATCCTGTTTATTTTTAGGACAGCTCTTTCCCATCAAGGCTCAGATGCAAATCATTACAGAGAAAGGGGGGGATGGTGGCAGGAAGAAAGCAGCTATTATTTTTATTTCTTTGCCTATGATGTGGTTGCAAACTTTCCTCGTGTACCCCCATCTGTCCACATTGGGACCCTTCATTTTTTGAAAAGGGATGATATCCTGGCCTATGAAAGCAGGATAAGGAGAAGCATAGCAGTGAATTCAGCTTATGAAATATTGAAGCAATGAAATCCTCACGGAACACGTGAATGCCTAATGCCAGTTTCAATTAATTCTGGATTTTTCATTAAACCACTATTAAAAGCAAAAGGACAGCAGAAATAAGGGAAAATTACTGGAGCAGTATATTAAATACCTTAGTTTTGCTTGAGGATGTTTTATTATCTGTCCAAAGCAATTATTTTACCAGCTCCTGATGGTCTGTAGGCTAAACAGAGGTATAGGGTAAAGTTCTAGATGGTCTTTCCTCAAAATTATTTTAATTTTTGTCCCCTAGTCTGCACCTGGCAGCCTGTCTCTGGTGATGTCTCTGGTATGTCATATCTGGAGGATAAGACATGGAGTCGGAGTTCTGGGAATCTGTAATAAAGTGTCACTCTGGCTTTATTTACAAATCAAATAAAAACTTGTTGACTTAAGCTTTTCCCCATATTGAGGGCAAACAAAAGACATGCAAATATTCAGAGACATTCATTAGGAAAGCCTGAGAAGCAATTTAAAACCCAGGTGGGCTGTGATTTTTTTACGGACAGAAGAAATAAAGCAACAGCATTTATAAAATGTCTCTTTTTCTGTTCTCAGAGCTTCCTTACTCCATTGACTAGAGAAAAAGAGAAACACCTGCCTGAATTAGGTGCTTTGGTAAGATATCTCAAGATGGTTGGGATGATCTTGGGCCTTACGACTTCTTCTCATAATGACAGAATAGAGACATTCATTCCTTAGGCAGGTGGGGTTTTGGTGGGGTTGGTTGCTTGACAGTGGCTGTTTTGCTGTTTGCTGTGCTGCTCTCCTTGAAAAGGGCAACAGAGATGTGGGATGCTGCTCAATAGCAAAATAAAGGTTTTGATGAGGAAATAAAGGTTTCAATATGGAAATAAAGGTTTCTTTATTTTCTGGTAGCAGTCACAAGGAAACGGAAACATCTGGGAGAAATCTGATGCTGATTCCCCTGGCAGAACCTGTAAGTCTTTGAGGAAATCACTCAGCCAGTGCTGTCATTCTGCCAAGGCAGACCCTTTGCTGTTCCTGAGCCCTCTGATGCCAGGACTTGTGGTCAGTAGTGCTGAACCCTGAGGATTCTCCTCTGATGTCTCTTTGGGGACACTTTGTGTTCGGAAGCAGACAGAGAGCAGGGGATGAAGCATGAGAGATGACCACCGTGCTCAGGCTGACCAGACTTTACCTGCAGTTCTACCACACCAGGTACTAAGGATGGGCTTTTTGTCAGATTCCCAAAAAGACTCAGTTCAGCTGGTGGGCACATTCTCAAGCCAAACGCTGTTCTCCTGCTCTGTTAACCAAAGGTGCAGAGGGAAGGCTGCAGCACTGTGAGCTCTGACACCCAAACCAGGTGCTGGGAAAGGTTCATTCATAGTGCACAGCTGTGCAGGCTTAACAGTGCTAAAACAAGGTTATAATCTTCAGTCCAATATGCAGCTGTCACCTAATTATTCAGTGCCTCAGATATCTCAGGTGATGGGGCAGCTTAAGGCACTGGTATTTATATTTCTGAAGTACCAGAGGCCCCAACTAGAGCTGTACCACCATGTGCCATGATGAGTAAGGCCCTTCCTATCACTCAGTGCTTCTATCCTCCTGAGATGTGCTCGGTTATGAAATGACTGGGCTCACTTTAGATGTCAAGTTACATCTCCAGCAAATGAACAAAGAGATAATAAATGATTAATAAATGCTTTGAGAAATGAGTAATTAAATGCAACAGCTTTTTAAGAGTCCAATGGATAAGGACAAAATATGTAAGCCCAAGCGATAAGGCTTCCTCCTGATACAACTTATCTGCAGCACACTGCTCACATCTGCAAGAGGGCTTAGGAACACTGGGAACTTCTGTGCACCAGGAAAAAAGAGCCTTTCTGTGATAGAGGAGCACTTCTCCTGGGGATTAAGACAAAATCCTCTTTGTTTAGACATTTTAAATCCAGAAAAGCTGGAAGGTGCTTACTTTAATGTGTGAGGTATGACTGTTAAGCAGAGCCCCAGCCTCCCATCCTTGCCTGGCACAGGGGAAAGCATCAACATCTTCCTGCCCTGTTCTAAGCCACAGTCAGGAGCTCTCCATCTGCTCCACCAGAATAATAGATTAAAAAAAAAAAAAAAAAGATGGTACTGCCATTCTTTCTGCTACAAATGAGGATTTCTGCCAGTAACACAGCTGAAGTCACCACGTAAAGCAGATCCTGCTGCAAGTATCCAAATCAGATTCCGAAAGGCCCCACAACTGCTCTGGCCAGCTGCCCAGCAAAAATATTGCACTACTGGGAGCTGGTGGACTGTTTGGCATGCAATTGAACTTCAAACAGGCTCCAGGAAGAAAAAAAAAAAAAAAGTATTTATATTTAGTTTTGAAGGAGAAAACCTGCCTGGGTTTGGAACACAAATGAACCTGCAAGTTTTCTGAGCAAAAGTTGGATGTGAGTTGGTGACATTTTCTGGTGGAAAAGGCAATGCGAAGGAAAAAACCCCTGGTAATGCACAAGTTAAATGAACCAGTCAAGTGCAGACAATGGAAAAGCTGAAAAATTGATATGAAGGAAAGCATTTTGTGGT